CCCCTCCCCTTTCTAGGAACGCTTTTCTGGGAGTTCTGGGGTGATATTCTACCAGCAACAATTTCACGTTTTAGTCTCGTTCGGTCGAAGGGTTCCGACCCCTGAATGCCGGAAGGTTCAGGTTTAGGTTGTAGGGTTTTGAGATTTTGGAAAACCCTGAACCCTAAACCGTAAACCGGAATAGCATGAGTTCATCCACATGGGCAGCACATTTCACCAAAGAGCTCCAGAAGGCCGGATCAGGGTACGTAGCTGGAGACTAGTTTGGGGCTTTTTATTGCAACTAAAGCATCATAGCCCCCAAACCCAATTCTAATTACAAAGGCCCTGTCATTATGCAGTATGCTCATACTTATAAACATCCCATCTACCCATAGGGGAGTAACAATAGTCCTCATACAAAGTACACTGGAAATATGAAGGGGCCTCAATAATCCCAGCAAGGTCTTGAGGTACTGGCCGTAGAATTGTAACAAGGAACCTTAAGGAATAGTACTAATAGTACTACTAATTATGCGACCCATATGGCAACCCGTGTTGAGGATCCTTAACAGAGCCCTTTTGGCGACCCTTACAGGGACCCCTACGGACTAATGTTGGCAATTATCCAGGCTTCTACCTATAGTCTCCATTGTAGTTCCGTTTTTGGTTAACCAAAATCTTTATATTAGACGACCCTGACCATAAAACTGGCTAAGCAAAAAAGGAACTACAATGGAGACTATAGGTATTAACTGCCATCCAGAAAATTACCTTAAATTACCATAACAAGGAAACCCTGTTACCTGCAAAAGTTTCCTGTGACTTTACAGTAAACTCCTTAACAAGAGCCAGTGATCACTAAACCCTAAATTCAACGCCCTACGCTCCGAACCCTACGTCCTAAATCCTACGCCCTACAAACCCCTGAACCCTAAACCCAATAAATCCTGAACCCCAAACCCTAAACCCCTTATAGATCCCTTTAAAGGAACTCTTATAGAACCCTTATAGATTCAGCGCAAGAACCCGACATCCCACCTTCAGAAGACCCCGAGCCGGCAAGCACCGCCGACGCAAAGCTGAGGATTCGTGAAGTCGCCGCAGCTGCTGTTGGAGTTTGTAGTATGGTTTAGGGTTTAGGGCTTTAAGCTTTAGGCTTTTAGGGTATGCCCTTGAGGGTCCAAGTAGTCCTTATTTGTGGGTTTTTATGGTACCTCAAAAAGCCCTACAGTCATACATCAGGGAGTGCTTGGACCTCCTGGGACACCCCGGGACGGTCAGCCCTCCTTCCCACAGGAAAGGATGCTGCCGCGGTGTCCCATGCCGCGGCCCCCGTCGTAGCAGGGGGGTTGGTCACCCGGTTTACCCCACCGGGAACAGCGCGTAAGAAAACGAGAAGAGCAACAACCGAAACAACCAAACTCGAGACGACAAAAACAGCAATCGCAGCAGCTAAGGCCAGCAGAACCTTCAAGCCCGCAGACGCAGAGCCCATTAAGTACACAGGGAATCCCAGGAAAGGTTCAACGCAAGTAACAGGTGAATCGGACTAGCAGGCTCAAGAGGGCCGGGAAGGGTACAAAAACCCACAACACCACAAAGGTTCCAACGCTTGCGAGCATGCCAGCAAAAGTCACAACAGTCAAAGTGACCCGGGAGCCCTTAAACAAAGATCTTGAGCTTTAATTGGGAGGGCCAACAAAGAAAACCCGAAACACACACCTAGATCTGGCAACCCCGAAACCCGCTCGCAAGCGAAACGCAGACTGCAAGCCTAGCAAACCATAAAGCCCTTACCAAGGCCCCGAACCAACAAATAACAACAACCCAAAACGGCGCAACTAAATCCCCGGCGAGCGAAGAGGTCACGACCTGGGCAGGCAGACGAAAACAAGCGGAGATGCACGACCCGTGCAGCAAGAAAGGCATGCAGCAAGAAACGAAGCAACGGGGCATTTTTTGGCGGCGAAGGCAAAGCAAAGGTGAAAAGGAAGCATGCATGCCGGCCCCAGCCCCCGAGCCACCGATGCTGGTGTTAGGCGCTCGGCAACAAAAGGGCAAGCTTTGAATTCATGAATTCCAGTTCGAAAAAAGAAAAAGGCCACGCATTAACGGAGCGCATCCCGCAGGGCTTTAGATCAAACACCTCAACTAAGAGTTGCCGTAGCACGTCAAGTAGAAAACAATTACAACCAACAACACAACCAAGTGCGATGCAAAGCCCACGGCCCGTGAAACGGGGACGACCCAATCTAACCAAGTCCTGACTAGACAACAACTAAACAATCCCCCTATATATCTACACCTACATCATTCAAATCCAGTGAAACCATACAAAACCCAATAACCAAAACAACTTAACGTCCCCAAATGTACAGGAGTCGCTCTGGTCGGGGGGTTGTTCTCGGCATCTGGAGGCGAACCTCGCTCCGAACAACCTCCACCTAATTTCCAGGGTATGCTATGGCCTTTGTCATATCACTGCCATGAAACCATTTGATTTCCATGCCACCAAAGCCACCACCCTGAATGCCAAAAAGTGGGTAAGTCGACCTGGAGTTCCAATTGAATGGCGAACTGCACCTCAAGGAAGGGTTAGGATATACCACTGCTACCATACCATTCAATGTGCTTTGGGTTCCAAAGTCCACCACAGCCTGGGTCCGTGCTGCACTGGCCCTCGAGGCACCCAGCTGCTCTCGATCGGCAGCATGTGCAGCCAACAGCTTGGAAAATAATTCTTCAGCTGCAGTTTTCACACCATATCTGCAGATGAACAGTTGCCACTGATTCCAATCCAGTGCTGTTTCCAAGCCCAGGTTTAGGATTTAGGGCTTGGGGTACGCTCGGGGTTAAGGGTATGGTAAAGGTTTAAGTATGCGACGTCATGTTCTGAAAGGTTTAGGGTATAGTTTCGATTTAGGGTTTATGGTATGGTAAGGATTTAGGGTAGTCAAGGTGAAAAGAATCACACAGTGATTATGAAGGGCTTTCAATGACTAGGCAGTAGCAACCTTGGAGACTCGTTACTGTTGCCACAAACCCCGATCGACGCAGAACACCAACCCCCAAACCACACAGCCTGATGAACTACTTCGCTGATGCTCTGAACCCCGAGTCACCTTCAAGATGGATAATGTAGGAACCTGATTAAGAAACCTTGGGCCTTTATTAGGGTTCCTTATATATGAGTCCTACTACTTTGGGGGGTTATAGGCCCAGGGTTTCTCAATAAGGTCCCTACATTAATGCGAACTGTGGTTGCCATCCTAAAGCCCACCAGATCTGCCGTTTACCCATAGGCTCCATAGTAGTCCCTTTTGGGGATTCCCTTATAGAGTTCTAAGTAATGAACCTCAAAGAGGAACAACTATGGAGCCTTAGGGTAGGGCAGTACGAAGCCTCATACTTGCCAAGATACCTTGATTTATCACATGAAAGGCTCCCTGTACTACATGAAGCAGGTTGTCTTACGCCAAACGAACAGTGCGGTTGGGTTCGGGGCTCATGATACAGGGCCTTAATATTTAAAATAACGGTTTGGGTCCCATTATGCGATGATTTTTTCGGAACTACCAAAATAGTATAGGTCATTATTTACGCCCTTCAGTGTCTTAGAACTTGGCATGGAAATCTTGAAGCCTACACTCCGGTTGGTAATCCTCGTGCTTCTCGGATGCACAATGTGAACAGCGCGAACCTCAGGCAAGCGCCCTGCCGTGGCGAAAGGACGGGGAGTTGACACGATTTCGGGATTGTGGGTTTAAATCAGGATCACCTGGTTTTGCCAACCCCGAAAAATGGGGGGTTTCAGGGGTTAGAGGCCTGAGTGTTGGCTTCTTGGCAGCCGAAGCCCGAATCAGATTCCTCCTAATGTTGGGGCCTGAAAATTTGGGATTCTTGGGGGCTACTTATCATTTAAATATAGTGTAATATGCCCTCAAAAAACCCTATTCTAATGATGAAGGCCGCTCCAGTCATTCCTCAACCCTACCCTCAAAGCTTCTCCACGAGGCCGCGCGGCCCGTGGCAGACGGGGATCGTGCTAAATCAGTTTGCCACCTCCATTAGGGTTTAGGGTTTAGGGACTTAGGGGTTCAAGTCCGTTACAAACGACTCAAACCCTACCACACCCCACAAACCTCAACTGAGAACCCGAAGCTAAATAAAACCATGTACATCGCCTGGTCGAGAAAGCTAAAGTGAAAGAATCACTGATGGATGGACTTACCCACAGGAACCACAGTAGTTCCTTTTTGGGGGCTTCACGTATAGAATTCTATAAGGTGGTTCCAAAAAGGAACTACTTTGGGGCCTATGGGTAGGGAGCACATGAACTTGTTACGACGGCTGGCTCCAGCCGAGGATGGTTTTAGGGTTTTCCTTCTTACAAGGATCTTTTCCAAACGCATATTTAGGGTTTCCGGCTTACAAGGGTCCTTTTCAAAAGCATATTTAGGGTTTCCTTCTTTCATACTGTTAAGGATCCTTTTTCCCACCGGATTTTTGAGTTTGGGGGTCTGGCCTGATGATTGAATTCTCATGCCTTTTTGTGGGGCTTGGGCTCACTGGCTCAAAACCCAATGCAACAAAAGTTGACACTTTCAGAATCGACTCCATTTTAAGAACCCCAAAAGTTAAAAAGTTGAGTTTACAGCCAATAAGTGGGCGAGTGTCAGTGTCAGCATTCGGGCTGCTTCGGCTCCCTGTACCTGTCGGGTACCGGGGCTTGGCGGGAGGTATCTAAATAAACTTGATTCATCCAACAGAAAGATAATAAGCCCAACCCAGATAACCCTAAGCCCAAAACCCTGCCCCCCTAACACGGAAACCCTAGCAACTTCTAAACCTGATCCCGAAAATGTACTGTTAGCACAAAACACCGACCAATTGAAATCTACTAGGAACTCCCAATGAGGAACGCTGTGTTGACCACAATACTAGCCCCGAGCGCTAGGTCATGCTAGCTCTAACAGTAACCCGTAATCCTGACCTCACGCTCCTCCCCGTGCCTTAGATTAGACGAAGGTCACGTGAGACAGCTCCTTGGCTGTCTTCGTGACCCACATCTCGTCCTTACCACAGAGCGCTTCAAGAAATCTCAGGGTCAGGGTCTCGATGAGGGTTACTTGAAGGGTGTCTAAGTGGATTTAGGGTTCTCTGTGGAGCGATTTGGGCTCTTGTTAAGACATATTGATTGGAAGCTGCCATAGTCAGGACACAGCATTGCTCACCATGGATTCCCCATAATAAGGATCGGCACAGTACTACGAGTATTCATGATAGATGTTTCCCTTACCCTAAGGCTCAAAATGGGCCAAAAGCCTTATATTATATGGTCTTTGGGCCCAAAAGCCTTAAAAACCCTGAACCCTAAACCCTAAACCCGGCATTAGAGCCTTAGGGTTAAATTCTTTCACCAGAATCCCAGAAATGAGGCCTTTTGGGGCCCTCGGGTCCTGGAGTTGTTGAACGCAAGTACCCTCGCCCACACAAGGTTGCCCTTTTCAAGTATGGTAGGGATACATACATAATATGTATATATATATATATATGTATATATATATACATATATATATACCTCAAAATGCGATTGGTTTTCTACTCAACTACTCAGCTGAAAGACCACAGCTTGAAACTTCCACGCCCTCAGCTATAAACGGACTTTAGCAGACGCGCCAGAGTCTCCAAGTTCAAGCTTTCAGATTTCAAGCCCATACAATAGGCACAAACCCGAAACCCAAAATCCTTGACACTACCCTTTGTGACAGGCTGCTAGCGTCTGATTGTGCGCGGCGTCGACAAGTCGGAAGCCTCCAAGAGCTTGAGGTTTGCGGTTTATAAGGTGCAGGAGCGATCCGAGGTACTTCCGACTTTCCCTAGGGCTCCAGTTACTTAGATAATAGGTTGCTAAGCATAATATGTGTGTATATATATATATATATATATACATATGTTTACTTCTGTTTAGGCAACCCGCGAGTAGCTCAGATGGGGATTTGCCGACTTGACTTACATACCTAAAGCGCAGTACAACTTGTAACATGAAATGCTAAACCTCGTCCAACAAGAAAGGCTTCAAACCACAACGCTTCCTGTTTGGGTGGTTGTCAAAATTATGGTCCCCTGTTGGGCACCCTAAACATTAGGTGCCATAAAATATTAAGGACCCAAAAAGAGGGACCCTAATTTTGACAACCACCCGTTTGTCATCTCCTGCTACAAGAACCCGAAAGGTCCAAGATATACTTATAGGGTATTTTGGGGGTCTAGGTATATACCATAATGATACTTGGACCCTTTGGGCAATGGCTTCAGCCCGAAACTCTCTGGGCGCATCAAAGCGACGCAAGGTCGAGGCGTTGACGACGTCGAGAAGGCCAAGTGCCATGACATCGGTGGCGAAGCTGGCCGGATCTTGGGTCAGCTTTTACATAGGTTTTTAAACCTATGGTTTTGAAGTGGTGCTGGAGCATTAGGGTGTTGCTTTGTTAGGATTTACCCTGACGGGTTCACGACATGAATGCGGGCAACTTTAATTTGGGGTTATCTCCAGCCTTGCGGCAGCAAGAGGAGAAGTAGCAGCACACGGAGTAGCAGTAGTTGTTGTTGTCGTCGCCGTGGCGGTGGTGGAGGTGGTGGTGGTGGTGGTAGGAGCAGTCTCAGGAGGAGGAGGAGGAGGAGGAGGAGGAGGAGGAGGAGGAGCCGGAGCAGGAGCAATTACGAACAGGAGCAGGGGTACAGTAGGATGACTGTGTTGATGCTGATGTTGATGATGACAGGAACGATTATGATGTTGTTGATTGATGATGATGATGATGATGATGATGCTGATGGCGATGATGATGACGGTGGTGATGACGACGATGATGGCATCCCTCGTCATGCCCCGTCAGCGGCATCCTCCGATCGTCAGCGCTGGCATGGCGAACCGTACTATTTGGGCAGGTGCATGCAGCATCTCTCACCGTCTGAAGTCCACCTTTCAATGATGAAATTTTCCGGAGCACAGGGCTTGTTGATCTCTGAAATAAAACAAGTCGGAACCACACTGGGTCAGGAAGGCCCTCAACAGATTTCTCTTCCTCGCCCTTGGGCGGGACGCAGATATCGTCACCTGCGCCGACGAACCGAGCGACGCTTAACGACTTGGGCTTCCAAGTTGCAAGGCTGGTGGCCCGGTTAAGAGTTTAGGGTTTAGGGTTTAGGGTTTAGAGTTTAGGGTTTAGGGTTTCGGGTTGCTTCGGGGTTCGAGCTTCGCAAGCATCTGAGCTGGTTTTAAAAAAGAGGCTTCGGCTTGGAGATGACGTTTAGTTTGCTGTTCTATGCTTCGGGCTGGTTCTTGTTGTTCCAACCGAGGTTTTTGTCCATCGTCCTGCGTGCAAGAGTACAGGAAGAAACCGAGTGCCGGTAACCGGCGATTCGATGAGAAAACCCACCCCAATCAGTACATGGAGGATCAAGGGACTTAGTGAACAAGGTTGCATTTCTTTGTTTATACGCTGTAGGTGTTATGCCTATCATGGCCTTACTCTTTATCCTAGTTTCTCAGTCCTACAATGTTCGAAGTAGAATCGAACCTAAAGCTCTAGAGCCTAAAACTCCTTTAGCCCCAAGTCGGAGGACCTCAGAAAAGCTTTCCCGGTTCAGGGCTTAGCGTTTAGAGTGGTTTAGGGTTTAGCGTTGAGAGCCGTTTAGGCCCAGACCTTCCAAAATCCCTTAATTAAGGAATATACCTTAAATTATAATAGGATCCCAAATATGAAGTAAGGTATATTCCTTAATTAAGGGATTTTGGAAGGTCTGGGGGGTTTAGGGTGTAGGGTTGCGGAGAGTTGGGTGATTCCCAAGGGCGAGGATGAACCCACGAAACCAAAAAGCCCCGAACCCCTGACGTTGACCCGGATCCCTTGGAACCTTAAGGACCCAAAGGGTCCTAGGTACTGTTATGGGGGATACTTCCCCAAATCATAATAGTAATTCCTATTATAGAAACCCTACATTCGACTATATCGGTACTTTGGACCCTTTGGGTTTGGAACCTCAAAAAAACCCCCGATTGAAGAGCCGCCTGTCGTCTCTGGACACTTCGGCGCGACCTTGTAAGCCATTTCCTGCGAATTCGGAGCCCAGGGGTTCCTGTGTCTACCCTAACGCTCCGTAGTAGTTCCCTAAACCCGGGGGGGGGGGTTAGGGGTGGGGCTTTAAAGATTTACCTACGGTCTCCATAGTAGTTCCCTTTTGGGGTTAACCCGTTTTATGGTTAGGATCCTATAATCGAGATTTTGGTTAACCAAAAAGGAACTACAATGGAGACTATAGGTAGGGTGCTTCAGGGTAGCGTGGTTGCTTCGCACCTGTGAAAGTGCCGAATACTAGCCGTAGTATCTTCGGGTTGAAGGATTTGGGGCGGGCTCTGCGGCATGGTACTTATAGTCTGGGCAGGTGAGGGTTTACGGCTTAAGCGTCGACGGGTTGAGGAGGGAAGATAATCTGAAGCCAAACCTCGCACGAGCCCACTGCTTTTGGTATCTACAACGCCACTCATGAAAATAACATCGTCCTCAGAGGCCGTGTGAGAGATCGATTCATGGTATGGTTACCAAATGACAAGTTACAGGTCACTTGCTCATCATGTAATAACCCAGTAACCCAGGAGCCCACTGTTTAGGCCTGAACCCTCATGCACTGCTGTAACTGGAGGCCTGTTTTGCCACAATCAGGCCCCTCAAAAACCGAAGTCATGCTCTTTTGCATGGTTCAGCTTTCAACAGTGCGGAGACACGAAACCCATTGGCAAAAACAGACACACCGAAAGCACAGGAGATGGGTGTCTGTAGACCCTGAACCACAAACCCGACAATTTCCACTACAGTACAAATAGACTGAGACATGACTATGTCGATCCCTACCTCTAGAGGGTTCTAGACTAAGGCTTCTACAGGCTTTATGGGCTTACTTGGAGGTTCACTTGGAGGTTCATGGGCTTATTACAGCTTAGGGCTAGGGTTTCGTGTCCAGGGTTTAGTCTACATAGTGCTTCCAACTGCGAGCCTTCGAAGGCTAGCTGCTCTGTACTCGCTATCGCGTGATGGGATTTGGCGAACTGTCTGAGCATACCCTGCAGGATGCATATGTTCCTCAAAGGGTCCAGGTACCCATATAGTAGCTACTTAGCAAGATCTTTGCACCCGAAATATATACTATGCTGTTACTTGGATGCTTCGGGTGCAGTTGTTATACTGAGACAGTAAAATCTCAGCGGCTTCGGATTTATGGCTTGTGCAGGGTTTAGGGAGTGTTGTCGCAAGCCGAGACACATCACATCCAGCACCGCCAGCAACAACTTGGATGAAGCCTTCTACATCCTGGCGTTCGTACTGGCCAGCACATAGGCTTCTATTTTAGAGGGTTTTTCCTGCATGTTGCACTGCAGTGTGACACTACTTGTCAGGAGCTTGCTGAACAAGGGGTCGGGGATGTTGTGAAATCTCTGTTGTTATGCGCTCTTGTAAAGAAGGCAGATATCGGTGCTACAGAGGGTGCATGTACGCTGCACGGTTGAGAACTTGAGTCTGTGGTGCTTTGTCCTACAGGGAACTCCAGAAAGTTGGAATATGGATTAGTGGTAGGATCCCCTATAATTTACCTTAAAGGGGTTACGATAATGATATTCCAACTTTCTGGCTTCTACTGTATTGTCATGCGACTGTCCGGCCTTGTACACTCGCATCTCGTTGGACGTGGCTTTTCCTGCTTGAACAGGCGGGTCGCGCCAATACCTTCGCCAGTCAGAGCAAGCCCGAGAAAAACCCAGACACCAAAGGGGGTAGTTGTCAAAATTTAGGTCCCTTTTTGGGTACCCAAAACAATAATATGTGCCGTACTATATTAGGGACCCACAAGGGGTCATAATTTTGACAACACCCATATGGCCCTGTGGTAAGCTGGGTCTGCTCGTACATAACCGTAGCAGTACGACTAGGTGTACCAGAGGCTGGCATGCTTGAAGGTTACAAGTTACAAAGCAAAGGTTTGCTTGCAAATGTCTCGAAGAATTTAGTGACACTGCTGGCTGCCCAGGGCACCGGCGTTGGTCATCGCTGCTAACCCACCAGAAACTAACACCGCCATGGACCATCACCACAACCACAGCACCAGGACTTCTTCCAGCTGTGCAGTACTCAAATCAAAACTGCGGTTCAAGGGATCTAACCTGGGCTGAACCACGCGGAACTGTTGGAGCGGGCACCTGTGCGCGTGCCCGGCAAAGTAAAGATCGACGCCATACTTCCTGAGCAAGGAGCAGAACCCCAGGCTGCAGCTGTCGGTTAACCCAAAGGGTCGTATGTACTGTCATGGGGAATACTTCCCCAAATCATAATAGCAATTCCTAATATAGAAACCCGACATTTTACTATATCGGTACTTTGGACCCTTTGGGTAAGTGTGCTGACTCCATGTCAGCACGATATACAACTTCAAAATGAGTTGCCCATGACGGGAGACATGGCGCTCCCATGATAATGCATGTTGTGTCACGCAAATGGGTGAACATGTATGTCACCGCCGCCATGGTTGCCGCCGTGATCATCACATTCGACTTCGTCGTCATCACAAGTTTCAGCAGCATCGCCGCGGTCATGATGATCCTCACTGCCAATTAACGTCATACTTAATCATCAACAGCCCCATCAAGAACGAACGCACAGCAAATCGATTAGGTGGCAGCTTGCCCAACAACAGCTGCCGCAGCAGCAGCAGCAGCAGCAGCAGCAGCAGCAGCAGTAATTAATAGCATTGTAATCGTCATCCCCACCGACGTTATCATTTGCATACCAGTCTCTCGCACAGCGACGATAGTGAGGATAGTACGGAGCGATATACGAAGAAAAGAGGAATAACAATAAAGCCGCAGTGAATTACCACTGAAAGAGCAGTGCAGACTTGTTGACACAACTCCTTGCTGCAACGGTGAGAAGAAACAGGTTACTTTACTGAGACTACCCATGCGGGACAGCTTCTGCCGTACATCCCGTATATCCCTGTTGCAGTTGATGATGATGTTGTTGGTGGTGATGGTGGTTGTGGCATTGCTGGTGATGGTGCTGGCAGAGGTGCTTGTGGTGTCGGCATTGCTGGTCCCGTCGGCGCGGAGATGATCTATCTCATCCTTATGTTGATGCCGGTCCTCATTACCATATGTGCCGGATGCGTTTCTGTGCCTATTCCAAACAACAGCCCTTCCAACCCTTGAGGTATTGAACGTGAGCTAGATTGGTGCGGCTTCTAAGAACAGCGTTCATGATTGCTGGCTTTACTCGACCATCTCATTGAGTACTATCAATACTGTCTGTATAGCGCTTAGCAGTTTAGCGCTTGATCTGTCCACTAGATACTCCGAGCAGCAGAAACGCAGCGATTCTTGATGTCTTGACGAGATGCTAGGTCCGTGATACAAGTCTTCGGGGCTAAGGAGGAAACTTGGCAGGCACCAGGTTCGAAAACCAACCACGTCCAAGAAGGACTGCGATTGAGGGATTTAGGGTACAGAGTTTCGGGTTTAGGGTGCACGGCATTGGGCTTAAAGCTTCGGGTTTGGAGCGTGGGCTATGGGGATACGGACATCTGGTTTATGGTTGGGTTTCGGATCCAGGCATGCGGGAATGGTGACGAACTTGCAAGCCAGTTCTGCCTGGTCCTACAGAGGTCGCCACCTGCAGTCCCGTGAATGCTCTGCTTGCAGCCAGGCCACTCAAAGAGTTCGCTGACGCCGGAGTGCTTGATGCTTTTCTTAGTTGGGAATTTCCGAAAATAGGGGACCCCCATACAGTACCCCAAATTGTAGGATCCATATTATTAAGATGGCCCCTCGCCTGATAACTCTATGAAAACCACGAACAATAAAAATGGAAAAGGAATGAAAAAATAATGGAACCAAAAATCAAAACAAGAGACCAGGACCGACACAGGGAATGGAAAAAACACAAAAAAAAACTAAACCAAATATGGAAAAAAAACAAAAATAAATCAAACGCAAACAAACACAAACTGTCAGGGCCAGGGCATCAGGGGCGACAGGTTCAAAAAAGGACCACCCTGGACCAGCATTCTGAGTTTGTTTTTTTTTCCCATTTTTTTTCCATTGCGTGGCCCCGTCCCAGGTGGCCTCCATCCTGGAAAAACACAAATTCCCTGAAGCATTTGGAAAAAAATCAAAAAAAAAATGGAAAAATAATGGAAAAATAATGGAACCAAAAATGGAAAAGAAATGGAACCAAAAATGGGAAAAACATGAGATGGATCGGGGCCGCACGGGAACAATGGAAAAAAAAATGAAACAAAAATCAGATGCCAAGTGCACCCTGCAACCAAATCGGAGAAACATTGAAGTCAAAATGCCACGGGATTCCAATCCCATATTTTTTCCATTTTTTTCCCATTGCATGTTTGATTGTCTGAGTGCCTCGATTCCATCTGCAATCTCAAAATAATCCCATTATTTATTATTTCCCGAGATAATAACGTTAACAGGACCGGGACATCATAACCATATTATAAGGACCCCAAAATATGGTACCCCTAATGTTCGGAAACTTTCCGTTGCCACGGGTTCAGGGTTTTTCGGACCGTCAGGCCACAAGATGCCTTAGCATAGGGCTTTTGGGTGTAGATGTTGGTAGAATTGTGGGAACTATGGGGGGGGCAATTTTCGATCCCTACCCTGCCTTTAGTCTCCATTGTAGTTGCTTTTTGGGGTTACCTTGTAGGATCCTATATAATTGGTTAAACCAAAAAAAGGAACTACAATGGAGACTATAGGCAAGCCTCCAAACCAAGACTCTCCCAAAGTGACTCGGACCTTCCGACTGTCTGCAACTGGGATGCAAGTGGGCGATGACCGCCGGCAATAATCCATGGCCTTCTGCAGGTAGGTTCGGGTTTACGGTTTTGGATATGGGGTTTAGGGTTAGGGGGTTTAGGATTTAAGGGTTTAGGGTTCTATATATGAAGGAACATCATTATCCTCAAGCCCTGAAGCATGAATCATCATAAGTACTTTCTGAGGTTCACTTCAGGCAGTCCCCAGGACATTCTAGGCCCTGGTCCGGGCCCAGCCTTCATGCCAAGCGGTCTTAAAGATTTAATGTAGCCGCCTCAAGACTTATAACTGGAGCCGCCAGGGGACTACAGTTGTAGGTTTAGGCTTTAGGGGCTTAGGGTTTAGCGGTTTAGGGTTGTGCTTAAGGGTTTACTGTAGGGTTTCTCAGCTTCGGTTTAGGGAGCTCCTGCGACCGTATAAAGACAATCAGGGTACCCCAAAAGAGAGCCAGAACTGACAATGCGTTTAGGGTTTTAGGTTTAGGCTTTAGGGTTTAGGGATGGGGCAACACTCGAAATACGATGAGGCAGGGGGTTGGGGGTGTCGGGAAAGGAATAGTACCATGATCTTCTGAGGTTTCAGCATTTCGGGCATGCGGAGATGTGAGTTTTTGGGGTTTCGTGATTTCGTTTTTCGGCTCCAGGGATTTACAAGACCCTAAACCCTAAACCCTAAGGAACCTACCTTTTTAGGGCCCCCGATTATGATTTCTTTATATAAGTCACTAAAAAGGTAGGTTATTTGGGGTTAACCTAAACCCTGAACCCAAAATCACAGAATCAGCAATCGTTCCGGATCCCGTAGGTTGTGAATCCTAGAAACGTTGGCCACTGGAGCCCTAAGTGCCCTTAGTGGCATCTATAGTGTTCAGGGGTTAGGGTTTAGGGTTCAGGGTTTACCGATTAGGGGTTAGGGTTTAGGGATTACCGGTTAGAGGTTTAGGGCTTAGGGCTTTTTAGGGGTTTAGGGAGGTTTCCTATATGAACCCTGCAATTTTGGGGTTATAGGCCCGGGGTTTCTTAATCAGGTTCCTACATTACCCCGACAATCCACCTTAAGGTGCTGTAAGATGCTTTTCTCCTTGATCTTCCCCTACACGACTTCTTTTAAGATAAGCCCTAAGCTAGATTCCCCAGGATCCGAAAGCACCCACAAAATCCAAGGAGCCTCCCGAAGCACGAAGAGACGCAAACCAGAACCCTAAAGCCCGAAACTTTAAACCCCAAAGCCACAAACTCCAAACCTTAATGGAACCCTGATCGAACCCTCACCCTAAACCCTAAAACCCTAAACCCTAAACCATAAGCCGAAAAGACTTGAACGTTTCAACCCCAAAGCGGCGCCTGAGCCCCGAATTTCGTGCAGCAACGGCTTCCTGCAAGTCTTCCTGCGGGATGGCGGTAGCCGTTTACATATGGTCCCCCGGTAATTTCACTGTTATTGTAGTAATAGCTGAAATAACTATATCAACTTTATACTACGAGTTATACTCATACTAACACGAACACCGATGCACATACGGTTAATACTAATACGAATACAAGTTGTAAGCTAGTTCTAGTACGAGAACTTACAGTCACAAAAATGTTAGCCATATGATTCAAAATCCTATGTTCCAATTGTTCAGGCCCTTGTAAGGAATGAATTTCTTCTGTGTAGACTTCAAACTGTTCGGAGTCATTTTTTGCTGGTCTATAGATGCCACCCGAAAGACACATGCCAAAGCACCGTCATCTCCGAAGCTCTGACTAGCTAAATTCAACATGAGACTTCGGGTTTTCGGGTTGCTTGTTTTTTGCTGTATTTAAACTCGATGCTCATGACTCGGCGTGGTATCGGGTCCCTTTTGATCGTTACATGGACTGCGACCTGCCTTCCGAGCCACGTATTTACACAAGTAATAGCATTTGATGGAGCCACGCTTTCTTCGAGATCCAGGTTAAGTCGTAACGCTCTGCGCCCCTGAAAGCAGTGGCCCAACGATGCTCTACACGCACAGAACCAAATCTCTATACCTAGCGAAGGAGTCTAGTGACAAATACACAGAGTCATAATCCGTTCTCAGACTGTCTCAGCAGGACGGAATGCTCTGGCCAAGACAATGAGTTTGCAGTACAACGAGGAATCCCTGTTCTGTTTCTCGACGCGGATGTACATGAAAGGAAAAGTTCCAGGAGAGAAACGGCCGCGGGCCGTTGAAATATTTGACCCGAATCATGTTAAGTAGGCCACGAGAATATGCAGGTAAGGATTGCAGCCATTTACAAGGCCCACCCGTTCACGCCAATGTAATTCTCTTTGCAATTTGATACCGGGCTTCTTCTTAGATGGATAGATAGATGCAAGGAGCTATGTTGGAGGGTCCACGTAGAGGGTATGAGCTTCAACATGTCGGCTTGAAAACTTGGGCAGTCCATAAAACCTCTAGACTCTAAACCATACAGTCCAGAAGACCTCAAGACCCCTTGCCAACCACATAAACACTATCAGCCCTAAACCCTATAAACCTTGGTCACACGACATCGGCTCGTGCTGCGGCCTCCAGCCACCTCAAGTACTCACCTGGGCCATTCTCTTAAAGAGCTTTGAAGCCGATTCAGTCCCGCTTCTTTTGTAGCGTTTTAGGGCTTAGGGTTTAGAGGGTTTGAGTCAGGCCTCAGCGTTTCGGGTTTAAGGTTTTAATTCGGATTTAGGGTTTTAGGGTTTAGGGTTTGGGGTGGGTGCCAGGATTCGGATCCGGCTTCCAGGGTTGTGGTGTCTTGTTCAAGGGCTCAGGGTCTGGGACAGTCCAGGATTTGAAAGTTGAGAATTGACCCGCCTTCCCCTTAGTTCGCTAGGACTTCAAAAACTTTCAACTGATGCAGTCCATAACTTGTATCAGGATGGGATCAAGACTTGGCAGCATAGAAGAGTTTTGCGAAGTGTGGTTGGCCGGACGATGCATGCACAACCGGGGCTTCGTCTTCTGCGTTCTTGCTAAGGGTTTTAGTTTGAGTTACCATAACAAGGAAACCATAAATTACTTAGGCTAGATCCCGCTTATTTTCAAGCCTAAGTTAAACTCCTTAACAAGAACCAATGGTTTGAAGCACGAACAATAGAGAAGGCAGCGGATTCAGATCGGTATGCAGTCCCACACTTAAGCTTTATGACTTACAGTAGAAGCCGGAAAGTTGGAATATCGTTATCATAAACCCTTTAAGGTAAATTATAGGGGATCCTGCCATTATTTCATATTCCAACTTTCTGGAGTTCCCTTTATTGCGATGAGAGTGTATAGGGTTAAGCTAAGTGCTTCCATGATCTGCTGCACGGATTTGGAACAGAGGTAGCTTTGCAAGCCTGAGCCCGCATCCCAATCTCTGCGGATAGATCCAAGAACATCCGGCGAGATCCCTGCCCACATAGAGCGGAATCATGAAGGTTTGAGCTGAATGAAATCCAAATCCCTAAACCCTAAACCCTTCCAATCCAGGAAACATGTCTGCTCGAATTCAGGGGTCTGGACGTATGGCTACAGAGTTGCTGCATACGAGTACCACGAACTAGACGGTCAACCCAACCCGGAAACCCCACACCCTACAACTCCGAACCCTCCTTCCTGAAGACCCAAGCCCAAAATCCTCCCTCCAACCCCTAAACCCGAAACATTACAAACTTTAGGGTTGAGGGTTTAAAAAGCTGAGGGTTTAGGGGTTGAGGGTTGAGGGTTTAGGTTTAGGGCCTACCTCCAAACTCCGAACCCTCTGAGAGGCCCCGGCCATCGGCGCCAAAATGGCCTGCCTTTAACCAGGAGAAGTGGCCGTCGCCTCCATGGTGTCGCTGTGGGTTTGGGGTTTACATGCGCCCGCGACAAAGATACCGTTTTAAGAGATGATTATGCATATGCATATATATGTATATGTATGTGTGTATATATATATGTGTGTGTGTGTGGATGGGGGTATCCGAACATAGGGGACTTAAAATGGTACCCTAAATAGTAGGGTCCTTATGAAAAGCACCCCCCCCCCCAGATAAGTTTTCGGGGGCCCACATTTCTGCATGGTAAGAGATGGATGAGGGTTTTGGGGGTTCATAATAGGGTGTGGTGCTTAACAACTTAGAGCGATTGGGGCTTTGAGGCTAAAAAGGGCGTTTGGCTTGTTGACTTCTACGGTTCAGGGTTTAGGGTGTATGCCCTGTCGGGTCCATTATGTAAATTATAGGGTTATAGTTATAGTGCTTGTGCGATATGGGGTTCACGGCCCAGGGGTAGTTGCTTGTGAATTCGCATAGACATGTACTCTGAACAGGGGTCGGTGATGTGTTGCTCACCCTGCTATTGCCTCTAAGAACCTGAAAAATGTGACAGATGCAGGATTTCGGGTTCCGGGCTCACAGTTTTTAAGGTTTTAGATTTGGAGCTGGCCGGGCTATCAGGGTACGGTTCAACAACTTCTGTGCAGTTCAACCCGTGGCTTTGATGATCATGGCTTTCTGCCCCAAGCCGGGCCTGTGTCTGTCTCCTCTGCACCCGGAAAGTCCGTCTCGGTGTTGATGGAAACGAAATGCACCGGTCCAACCTGTCTTTCTCGGTTATGGCATGGAACACGATGAAGCGTTGCAACTTTAGGGACTGCTTTGCTGGGTTTGCGGTGACTCTTCCTGGAAAAGCGCTCGGGACAGCTACATCTGGATAATTATCCACGAGGAAACAGCGCACAAGGAGCTAATTGTGGCTGCATCAAGTTCACAAACCTTTGAATTCACCGGCGGTTGGTGGTGTGGTGCTTAGTTTCTTTGTTCGCCCAGATCGCGCCTACAGATAGATAGAAAGCATCACAAGGGCTCAGAATCCCCTACGTAGCATATACATATCTATCTTCCATCTATGATATATATATATATATATATATATATATATATATATATTTATGTATATACACACATATAGGCGCATGCAGCTTATCATGGAACAACATTGCCCATGCTTCGAACCTACAGGCAGCTGAGGCTTGGGGCTGAGTTCGCGTCAACAGCAGTCCCTGTAGTTAGTGCGTGGGGCCTGAATTCCAAACTAGGGTTTAGGGTTTAGGGTTTAGGGGTACCAGAAATATCGGAGACTTTCGCAGCCCGGCAAAAATCTGACACTCACACCACTTTGTCAACTCTGACATCCCTTATGCTGAGCTTCCGGCATTGAAGCTGTACCACATGTTGGCCCGTCCTTAAGATGACAAATATGTACCAGTATAGGTAGTAGTTTGGAACGGCAGGGGATTTTGGTAGCAGTGTGCCGTGTGCCAGGCTGGTTTGGTGTGCATGAAGCTTACTTGAGCACCGTAGATGCCTCGTGACATTTGGAAAAGCCTCAACCTCCGCGAAAACGAAGACACGCATCAAACAGTATGTGGTCGTAGTCTCCAAGAAGTGAAGACAATAGATCACACTACACGGAAGAGAGATGGGATTAGGGTTCGCTTTTCCGGCTTGCCCTGCAACCCATGTCAATGTACCTTTGTCAAGCATCTACTTCGGCCTCAATCAGTGTAAGAAGATGCTATATATATATATATATATATATATATCTATATATATATATACACATTTTTTTTAAGTTGTTCATTCTGGACAGACCATGATGCCCGGTCATCCTCTGAGCCTAAAAACGTTCCTCTAGATCGCAAAAATTCGTGGCTGAACACGACCAAGCTTCCGCCACTGGTCTTGGAGGGCATGTGCCATCGGTGGTTGAACCTATAAGCACGGGGGAATTCAAGTTCGGCAGTCGGGAAAGCCAACGTAGGGGCCTGAACAATTAGAATGGGGTTTGGTGTAGGGTTTATGCAAGGATACTCATTATCAGTTCGCACTATTCAGAGTTTGATATTGCTTTTTAGCACCTTCGACCCCGACTGGTGTGCAAATCACGGCTTGAGGGATTTTTGTGTTCCAGAGCCTCCACCATGTTCGTATACTAGAGACTCATTATGAACCCCCAAGCCCCCAACAGCAGTCCACAGCCCACTGAGGAGCCGAGCGCGGTGAAGTTCATCAGCGCACGGCCCAGGAAGGGGTCCGCCAACTCAGCTCGTGGCTCTGGGAAAAAAAAGTTTCAGGTTTGGGGTTTAGGGTCTGAGATTTGGGTATAGGAGTTGCTTTTGGGATATTGGGATTCTTATTTTGAGGTGGAAGTTCTTGCAGCCTTAAAGAACATTGGTTTGGAAGATGTTTCCTAGCAGAAGCCTATGGGGTCTTCAAGGCAGTAAAGACCCAAAGGGTCCTATGTACTGTTGTGGGGGATACTTCCCTAAGTCATATTTAATAGTAATTCCTAATATGGAAACCCTACATTCTGCTGTATCGGTACATAGGACCCTTTGGGAAACTGGTACCCTCCATTGCACTTCGGCTTTCGGCTGCCAGATGTCAAAAGAGCCTAGCCATGAACTGGTGAGCCAAACAAGGACAAATCGTCTTCATTGTAGTCTCTATTATAGGATCCTGACCATAAAGCTGGTTAACCCCAAAAAAGAACTACGATGGAGACTTTCGGGAGACTTCATTGCAGAGGTTACAGAGAGGTCCACTTGTACCTGCAACCATACAACCCAAGGGATTAAGCATCAAATCCCAACTCCTCTAGTGGCCCCAAGCTAGTGGTGTGTTTCGCTTAGCTTCTGTTTTGTGCTGTGTGCATGGCCCTCTGAGGGCTGTGATTTAATCTGGGGAGTTGAATAAGGTGCAACAGAGCTGCCGTAGGTTCGGTAACTTCCGGAAGCTTACTGAATGAGGAGGATCGGTAATTACATGTCACCTTGCAGTACTTTCAACAAGACCGGCTAAAGCCCCCTTTACAATGTGCCCGATACAGCCATCGCGTAGTAATCATTACATGGGCTCGTGGGCATCTCTGCAGCTCCGTGACGCACGCAGGGCTGTGGCATTCGGACTCATGGTTACCTGCGAATGCAGACATGGGAAACTGAGATATCGTGAGCTTCCCACGGGTCCTTTTCAGAGTCAGGGTAGACGCGAATGTCCCCAGTTTCCGGGCAGCATACAAGGCACAGGCAAATTCGCATGATTGTGCCCAGTGTACAGTGCGAAATCAATACCAAGTACCCAACCTATGTAACGTTTTCGATAATTAGCTAAATAACAGTAGAGAGCTTGGGGGACTTGTACCATAAGCACACTATGTAACCCAAAGGATAATCATCATACTGGTCATGTTGTTGTCGCCATTACTGCAGCTTGACGGGGCTCTTTGCTCTCCCCTTTGATTTAGCATTCTCGGGCTCAAGGCAAGCACGCTTCGTCAATAGAGACCAACTTTATTTCCTGCTGTCTCCTGTGCCCTCACCTGTGACGGCAGGCACCTGCACCATCTACTGCGATGACAGCAACGCTTGAGTGCTGGATCTTAGGATCTCGCAGACAGACCGTTGGGTATGCCTGGTAGAATTGCTGACGGCCCACGCGGTCACTTTCACTGCCTTGTGGTTTGGCATCTCTGATGTGGGGCTGGTTCCTGTTGCTGTTAAGGCATGGAGCTCTTGCAACCCTCAGAATTGAAGCCGTGGGGCCCGGAGACACCATGTAGGGCATCGTCGAGGTGAGGTTCTGTAGCCAATTCATGTAGCCGTTGTAGGACTGGCGGAGGGGCACTGGCGAAGATTAGTGTGATTCATTGCGGGCTTTTATTCCAAATTCTTCCTCAGCATACGTATGTCCCGCTCTCTCTCTCTCTCTCTCTCTCTCTCTCACTCTCTCTGTCTCCCTCGCACTCTTCATCTCTCTCTCCGTCTCTCTCTCTCTCTCTCTCTCTCTCTCTCTCTCTCTCTCTCTCTCTCTCTCTCTCTCTCTCTCTATATATATCTGTCTATCTCTGTCGATTTTTATACATATGTCAGTGTATGCATGCATGCATACATGGATGCATTCATGTGTATGTATGTGTATATATGTGTGAGTGTCTGTGTATATATACATATATATATATATACACATAGAATTATATGTCTGCGTCTGTGTGTGTGTGTGCGTGTGTGCATGTGTGTATATATATATATATATATATATATGCATGTGTGTGTGTGTATGTGTGTGGGTGTGTATGTCTGCATGTACTTATATATGTACATACGTGTGTGTGTGTGTGTGTACGTGCGTATGTAAGTATTGATGTATGCATGTATGTATGTATTGTTGAAAAAATGCTGGTGGTGAGTGGTGATTACGTGAATCCTTGGCTACCCCCCAATCGTGAACCTTTGAATTTAAACAACTCTAAACCTAATTCGCAGCGCCGTCAGGAAGCACTCAAAACCACCTGGTCCTAACCCCGAACCCTACCCCAAATCCACCATCTTGGAATCCTGACCCTAAGACCAGCAACAATCCCCAAAATCATCTTCTGCTCTGAACCCTACACCTTTTGTGGAAATGTCTGTGGAAACCCTGAAACCCTCTTGTAGGGAGCATTGAAGACATTCCGAAAGATGCCGAAAGCAAAACGAACCCCTGAGCATGGGCTCTCACTTAGGAACTTAACTAATATAAGTTGGCAAGTATATGTGGAGTTATATGTGTGTAAATATATACATGCATGCACACATATTATTTGTATGCATTTGTACACATAAGTATAGACATACATATGTATACATATCAGCACATACATACATACATACATACATACATACATATATGTGTGTATGCACATATACACAAGCTTACACACGCAAACACACACACACACAACCACATGCACATGGACATACACATTCGTTCTCACATGCATCAGCATTCACATGCACATGTACATACGCAGACGCATATGAATATACACATGCGTGTACACAGATACATACATATACTGTATGGACGTGTAACACATTGAGATATACATACTTATAATACAAGCACAACACACACGCAGATACAAATACATGACATTACATTACATTCCCTTAACATGCAATATGTCACTGTCACAGTACAGTGCGCAAATTAGAAATCGGACTATGCTACAGTAGCATACATTACTGGACATAAATTACATGCATGCATGAATGAAGGCAGGCACAGACCTGTAGTCAATCATGCACAGTCGCGACCCATGATTACTGAGGAACTATTTTCTCATAATGTAATTGTGTGAGTATAGTATAGGTGTAGATACAGATATAGATATATAGGTTTATGTACACACACACACACGTGTATAAGCATGGAGGTACATACACACATTACATACTTTGACATATGCATACACAGAGATGTGCATACACTTAAAGTATACAAGAATATGCACAACGCGTATATACACATATGTACGTATACGCATACTAATAACATATAACATGTGCATATACACAGCATGCATATACATACACATATATGTATACATCATTGTCGACGTTCATGCAATTCTTCTCATGATGATACAATAGCATTGGTTTTTCAATAACCATCCCAGCCTCTTCGTAGGTAAACCTGACCAGGGTCTCTGGCTTAGGGTTCAAAGGCTTCTGTTTGCCGATCCGCGTTTTTTGGGTTTGGAGCTTCGTGAGTTCGGAACTGAACTTTGATAGGTTAGCTTTAACTTTAACAGCAATGTATCAGATTGTACATCTCACCTCGGCTTCTAAAACCTGAACCTCAAGACCCTACTGAAATGCAGCCTCTTCCGAATCCCCAGTTGTAAGTAACGCTACAGCAACAAAGGTCAGCGCAGTTCTACAGTAATCGAGGACCATCGTCGCGCCATTCTTTTCCGGGCACCAATGACCCGTGGTGCGGCGATTGCAATATGAGAGCTGCGCATGCTGAGTGTCGCGACTGGTAAACCCGATCCTGAACCAAATCGCAACATTGCCTACCTAAACCCGGAATGACCTACATTTTTTAGGACTTATAAAACGAAGTCATAATAAGGAACCCTAGAAAGGTAGGTTCTTCAAGGTACTCCCTATACCCTAAACCCAAACCACCTTATTGGCGCATGGGCGTAGGAATCGTCCATGTAGCCAATGTCACCCACGTGCCAGATGAAGTCCTTCGCCACGCTTCGAGTGGTGAGACTTTCCAATCCAGACCCTGTGACCCTCAACCATATACCCCAACATCCGAGATACAAAATCCAGGACTCTGTTTCCAAACTTCAGTTGAACGGGATGGGTGCCTTATTTTGGGGTCCTTATAATAAGGATCCTATTCTTTAGGGTACTATATTAGGGTCCCCCCCTTTTCCGAAACTCTAAACCCTAAACCCTTATAGATGCCTTACAGGAACCCTTATGGTACCATTTAAAGGAACCCTACTTAAAGGATCATGGGACTTAGTAAGTAGGTTATAATTGGGGTTATAAGTCCCCTAAGTGGGGTTATCCTAATGAGAACCAAAATATAACCCTAGTTACTAAGTCCCATGATCCTTTAAGTAACCCCTAAACCCTAAACCCTATAGATCCCTTTAAGGAACCCTTATAGATCCCTTTAAGGAGCCCTTTAAGGAACCCCTACAGTTACTAAGTCCCATGATCCTTTAAGTAGGGGCCCCGGGGTCCCCCTGTTTGAAGCTACGGGGAGAGCAGTCTGAGCTCCTTCCACATCCCAACCCCAAGGAGCTAAGGCCTGGGATCACCTGCAAGCCCTAGACCTTCCAAAATCCCTTAATTAAGGAATATGCCTTAATTCATATATTTGGGATCCTATTATCATTTAAGGTATATTCCTTAATGAAGAGATTTTGGAAGGTCTTACCGGTTTAGGGGTTCAGGATTTTAGGGGTTTAGGGGTTCAGGGTTTAGGGGTAGGATTTAGGGAGTAGGGTTTTAGGGGCTTAGGGATTAGGGTTTAGGGGTCTTCTTTTCAATTACCAACACAGGGATCTATGGCAAGGCCGGTTTAGGGGTTTAGGAGTTTAGGGTTTAGGGATTGGGGTTTAGGGGTTTTATTTCTTCTTGTCGGGTATCATGGGGAACTAAAGGTTGACCTTTTTGGTTATGTAGGTATTATATAGAGACTATACTACCCCAGAAATGGGTTTAGGGATTAGGGTTTAGGGGTTTTATCTTAAATTACCAACATGGGGATCTATAGTAAGGGTTCCTTTCAGGGTTTAAGCTAGGTTTAGGGTTCTACACCTTGCTCTTAACCGTCATAAGTTAATCTTTTGGTATCCAGGTTTCGGCTTTACAAAACGTGCACTGTGGGTGTATACCGGGGTTCGAATGGCCCAGCTCAAGGCTGCCCATTAGACACACACTACCTACACTACCTAGAGGCTCATACCCCTACCCATTGTTTAGGATACCTAATTTTATGGGTAGGATCGATTGTATAGAAATGTAGATACCCTAACTAACCAGTGGTTTGGGGGGTTCCCTTGGCTCTTTAGCTTCTTATTTAATAGGGATTATCATCATCCCTGGCTCCTTAGCTCCCGTAATATCAATGGATACCCTAAAACAGGGTAGGGTATGAGCCTGCTGGTACTCAGAAGCAATCTAAACGCATCTGCGAGGCGATAGACTTGTCGTCTTTCCTGAGCCCGACCGAATGCTTCCGCTTGCTAGAGGCTTTGAATCGCAATCTCGCTGCTGATGTATAGGGTGTGGGGTTTGAAGTTCAGGGTTTTGGGATGGGAAGCCAACAATTACACTAAGAGATAGTGTTAGGGTTTTTAGTCTCCAGAGCCTGGGATCCATGCTTGCTGTCGAAAGTCCCAAAAGCCCTACCCCTGAAATACTCCCTAAACCCAAAGCCTTGAACTCCGCAAAGCGCGAGCATTAGAAGGTGCAGGCTTCTGCATCTTAGAGTTCAGCTATATGAAACCAGGAGGGGCTTTGGATTGGCAATGTAAGGCCGACGTCTGCATGCTCCCATGAACTAAGCAGCCATCGAGCTCGATCGTTAACAAAGCCGGTGCTCATAAGCCCGGGTCTAATCTAGGTATCGTCGGAACACTCCGATCCCAAATACCTCGTAAACCTTAAACCACTCGCCACCAATGTAATTAGTTAGGAAAACTTCTCGAAGCAAACTAATTTAACTGCAAGCGTACATACGCATGTCAATAGCGGAGGCACTCACAAAAGAGAAAAGATGACAGCACAGAAAACGACTATGCCGGGAATCTCGTTTATCACTATCTGCGCACCGTCAGACTCGCAACCTTCAGCCCTACAGTAAAAGCCAGAAAGTTGGAATATGATTATCCTAAACCCTAAATGGTAAATTATAGGGATCCTACCATTAATCCATTTTCCAACTTTCTGGAGTTCCCTTTAAACCCCTGTAAGCATGACGAAGACCAAGTTGCCATTTCTCCAGGGTTGCTCGGCTCAGGGTCGCCGACCATTTCCTCGTGGGATGTGCCATTCAGTATTAACCCTAAGGGTCCATGTACTCATATAGTACATACATTGGCCTTAATGTAGTCCCTATATAGGTACTTTGAGGCTCATGTATCTCTATATATAGCTACATGGACCCTTAGGGTAAGTTCCTATAGTCTGCATTGTAGTTCATTTTTTGGTTAACCAAAAACTCTATAATAGGATCCTAACCATAAAACAGGTTTAAACAAAAACGGGAACTACAATGGAGACTATAGGTAAGTTCAAAACAGGCTAGAGGCATAAGCTCCGCGACAGCTTGTCAAAACTCATAGAACGCAAGACACCAAGCTTCCAAAAGGACCGATACCAATTCGGTATGTGCCCAAACCAAAAATTCCAAAACGGCCAAAACCTGAATTAAGTCCTAAATCCCGAACATCTGATGCATTTGCTGCCCAAGGTCTTCTCCAGACCATGCAAGGTGATCCACATTGGCCTCTGATTGCTGTCCTCCCAACCTGGGACTGATATATGGGGGCCCAATAACCCAGACCTTCCAAAATCCCTTTATTGAGGAATATACCTTAATTCATATTTGGGATCCTATTATAATCTAAGGTATATTCTTTAATTAAGGGATTTTGGAAGGTCTGGGAATAATAAATCACTAGAATAAGTTGCGGGGTCTATTGCAGTAGAGCTACATAATAAGGAAGAAAGGAAAGACTACCACTAGCCAGAGAACCGTCTACATAAGGGGTGTGCGGGCCAGGGCTCAACATAAATTCTAGGGCTGCAGGGTTTGAGGTGCCTGAACCCTGCCCAATAAATCTGGTTCAAACGTTCGGGTATCAGCCTTTGGCTGGAGGGTAGAGTGTTGCGAGACAAGGCTGTTTTCTTTATGCGACAAGCCTCGGAATGGTCAGCCCTGAATTCTAAACCCTAATTGCCTCAGTTTCAAGGTTTACCGTTCATAGACTGCCTAGACTCCCATATTTTGGCCTTCCATCGATGTGCATCAACGCATTTACAGTTCCAGAAACCTCAGAAGCCAAACGGTTCAAGGTTTAGGATCTTGTGTGTTGTGTTCGGAGCTTTTGGTGTAAGGCTAAACCCTAAGGGTCCATGTAGCTATATAGAGATACATGAGCCTCAAAGTACCTATATAGGGACTACATTAAGGCCAATGTATATACTATATGAGTACATGGACGCTTAGGGAAAGGACTAGAGCCTTCAATGATGCTCGGGCAGAGGGCCCATGTCTCCGAAGACGGCCATCGAGAAGGCCGCTTTGTTGTCTGCAGCTGCGGTGGTGAAGGAAAAGACCTGCACGTGTTTCCCTTAAAAAAGGCCCTTATAGTACACTGCAAAGGGTACCCTCGACAGGGGGTCCGGGGATCAAAGTTTAGGATGTTAGTAGCAGTTCAAATTATGGATGTTTCTAGCAGTAGCGTTTGAATCATGCGGAGAAGGGTCATGCAAAAAACATACATGACAAATCAGCACTACCTGGGGCTCCAGGTACGCAAACTTTGGGCTGGAATAAAACCTACTATTACCAGGACCCTCCTTGTACCATCAAATAGGGGTATATGGTCCCAAACAAGGGGCATTTAGGGTCTAATAGAGGGTAGATGGAGGGACTAGGTAGGGAACCCTATAAACTGCTAAACATCATCGTCGCAGCGCATTTTTGGTCCTCTCGGGTATGAAGAAGGATACGGGCTAATTACAACACCTGACCCTAAACCCTGATTTAATCCCAGTGCCACGGCTGTCCTCGGACCACTTCGAGTCTCCGGCACTGCCCACCCGATAAAAGTACCTCAGCTATGCTAGTTCACGCATGTACGTGGGTTAGCCATAGGCTCCATTGCAGTTCTGTTTAGGATCACCTTGTAGAATTCTAAATATGAACCCCAAAAAGGAACTACTATGGAGCCTTAGGGTTAGCCCTGAATGTTTACAGCTCAAGGCAAATGCGTCTTTGGGGTGACTTTGCCCCCACAGAAAATGAAACTAAGAACCCTGTGTCTTCACTGATTCACTCCGTTCAAGCTTCATTGAATGTCGGTAAGCTTCGGGTTCGGCTTGGGGCTCACAGAAGTTGGTCACCAAAAACATCGATTTCGGAGGATGCATACCTATGGCCTCCACTGTAGTTGCTTTTTGGTGTCATACCGCATAGGATGCTAAATAGAAAATGGGTTAAGAAGAACAGGAACTTTTGAAGGTCATATACAAGGGCCCTGAAAGGGTGTGGCCAGGTTGAACTGCATCTCATACTTGGTTTATGGATTAGGGGTTTACGGTTTCGTGTTCAAGCTTAGAGTCGATCAGTGCTTTAGAAATAATGAGGATTTAGCCTCTAGCGTTTGGGGATACTCATGTTGCAGTGCCCAAGTACTGGAAAAGATTGCCCACAGGTCCTTGTTGCACAGCTCCTGAAACCAGCATGAAGATCCTGTCTCAAAAATCTGATTCAGGACTGACCGTGTCTTATCCGCTTGCGAAACCGCTTGCGGGATTTCGGCCTAGTCCTGTGAAGGCGGCTGGCGGACTTCCGCGGGTTTCGGAACCCAAGCCCCAAGAGTGCACATGTACGATTGGGACGACATTAAGCACAAAGGCCATTCCGATTATGGCTGTTGGGTTGGGATGTAGTTCCATGGTTTGCGTGGACAAATGTGCTGCAAATTCGCTGGAAAGCAGCTTCGGCTGGGCGGTGTGGCTGGTGGGGTCGGCCACACAGAGTCAGTGTGCCTTAGCATAGGGAAGATGGTGCCGTTGCTCCAACTGGCAAACTCGGTCAAAACATTTCGATCAAACGCCAAGCAGCCGAGCAGCCCAAAATTCAAAATCAGGTTCCATAATACAAAACTGGATCAAAACTTTCGGTCAGAACTAGCGCACCCAAACAATTGACAGTTTCTATAAACACCTAAACTCTAATTAACCCTGGACCACAATCCGGCTCCCCGTGCAAGCACCTCAGCTCTGCCGGATGCCGGAAAGACACTTCGTGCTCGCCTTCAAATTCGGGAGCTCCACGTGGGCATGGAATCCTGCCAGGTTCAGCGTTTCGGGTCTAGGGACGGTCTAGGGTGTAGTGTTTTATTACTTAGGTCTATAGAGATCAGGGCTACAGGGTGTGACCTTTTAGGGTCGTGGCTAGGATTTGGGTCTAGGGCTTAGGTTGAGTGTATGGGGTTGCAGGATCTGAAGCCTATGGGCCCAAAGGGTCCAAAGTACCAATAGAGTAGAATGTTGGGTTTCTATATTCGGAATTACTATTATGATTTGGGGAAGTATTCCCCATAACAGTACATAGGACCCTTTGGGGGGTCAGGTCCGCAAAGCATCTAGAACCAGGAGGACCCTCCTGCCTTACCCTGAACCCTCAGCCTCGACAAACATGTGGGTAGTTGTCAAAATTGTGGTTCCTTTTTGGGTACTCTAAATATTAGGTGCCGTACTATTAAGGACCCAAAAAGGGACCATAATTTTGACAACCACCCATGTAGAATCGTAGAGTAGCTGGGCCGATTTACACAAAAGACTGTATAGTCTCGCCGAACCCGAAAGCCCAAACGTCTAGTTTGTTCCCTTCAACCCCTGCACCCCAAGCTTCGATTACACACGGTACTTAAAACCATAACAAGACCATAGAGATGCCATAGCGCTTAAACACTAAATCCCCAAACCCTCAACCCCTACATTACATGCTAAACTCTGAACCCCTGAATCCTACACCCTAACTCCTATAAACCCTAAACCCTACAGTTCTCGCTATAGAAATCCTTAAAGACCCTTGAAAAAACCTAAACCCTAACGGCCCAACCGCCGCCCGTACCGGGCATCTCCTGCATTGGCCATGTATTTCTTCAAGCCGCCTGGCTCGGGCTTCTTGGACGTTCCAGCGCTTGTTGCGGACTTTGGGGTTTAGGGTTTAATATAGGGGCCATGATAATTAGAATAAGGTTCTTTGGCCCAGTATGCTAGAACTGTAGTATAAGGAAGCCCAAAACCGTGTTCGTAGATATTTAGGCCTCTGTAGCAGGATGGTTTAGGGTTTTTGCTTGAGTGATTGAGGCTGAAGGTGTGGCTTCGGAGCTTCTGCATACCATGTACGACGGAAAGATTATATCACTAAACACTCCGGTTTCTAAACCTTTCCTAAACCCAAAACCCGAAACCCCAAGCCCTTAGATTTGTTAGTTGTTTGAAAACCCTCAACCCTTTAACTCCCCCTCTTCTATGGACCGGAGCCAATTCGCACCGGCCCTGCCAAACCTTACAATGTAAGGGTTCAGGTTCACGGTGAGGCCCGGACCCTAAAGCCCACAGAAGCCTGCAAGCCTACTACAGAGGCCTTAATACTTACAACGGGGTTCCTTTAAAAGGTTACTTTTTTTGATTATAAGGGTACTATAATATGGGGGGCCTTCATGATTAGAATAGGGTTCAGGGGCGCATTACACTTTAATTATAAGAAGGAACCCCTCAATTATTTAGGCCCCTACATTAGAGAATCGACCCCGTGCCTTGCACACGGTAGCCGTAACTCCAAATCCCCGAAGTCTCACTCGCAGACGTGAAGCCACCCTAAACTCTAAACTCGAAACCCTAAACCCTAAATTAAACAACCCAAGATCCAGGCAGCACATCTGCAAAAGTCATCGGAAGATCTGCCACTCTACATCTCCATCTGTGAAACCTATTCTGGCTTTCGAATCCCAAATCCCAAACCCAACGGTAAACTGATCAGCATTGAAGCCAACCGAATCCAGCCAGATATCAACGCGATCCGGAAACTAAGAGAAACAAGCCTTGTGCAAAAAAGCCCAATAGACCTTGTCTAGCAGATGGCATGTTGCCACTAGAGCCTTCATCCAGGAGCCCTCTGAGCCCAAACACTCTTATGCCCTGATACCCTAAGCCCTGAACCCCTAAACCCCAAGCCCTGAACCCTACCCAGGCTGTTCACAGCCTCAAGCCCCAAAACACCTGAGATAGGGGCCTTAATAATTATCATAGGGTTTGGGGGGTATATTCTACCATAAGAATCACAATGAGGAGCCTTCAAAATAGGATTGGCAGTTATAACCCTAATCCCCGAGCCTTAAACCCTAAACCCGAAGCGTAAGCCCTAAACCTTAAACCCAAAGCCCCATATTAACCCTCTTTGGGGGAGCCTGAGGCAGTCAGGTCCAACTTCTCTGCAGAGAGACCATACTGCACCTGATGGCACCGAAACTGCCGTTTTTGTTAAGTTAGGATTTGGGGTGTAGTTTTTTGGCTTAGGGTTTTTTGGATTTATGGGTTTAGAGTTTAGGGTTTCAGGGGCTGTAGGGGTTGAGGTGTTCGATTTAGAGCTTGTGGGTTTAGGGGCTTAGAGTTCAAGGCTGATGATGGAGACTTGGTCAGGGGGATAACAATGAAAGCAACATTCTGCAGCACGAAACCCTAACCCGTGTCTAAAGAAAGCCTCAACGTGGGCACGACCACCTGCTGGTAGACCCCTAAACCGCGTAAAGCCTTAATCCAGAACCCTAAACCCCGTACCTAGACCCGAAAGGCTTCAACCCTGGATCGTAAATCCTATACCCCCCAAAGCACCAAGCCCCGAGTCCTAAATCCATGAAGACAAGTTCAGCCACGACCCCTGCAGCTGCCCTGAACAGAACCGTTACGTAATACCACGAGGGTCCATATACATCCTACCATTTAGGCCCCCGAAACCAGCAGAAAGATGGCGTTGATTATGGGACCTCATTCCCGATTTCATAATGGTAGTACATACGGATCCTATGTAATATGACCCTCAAACCATGTGGGTATCGGAGGTTGGAAGGAAAGAGTACAGCGCAACCCTAAACCCTATAGACCCTCTCGACCCTACAGACCCTATGGGCCCTGTAAACCCAAAAGCCCTAAACCTTATAGACCCCCAACCCCAAACCCTCTGCTCGAAGCCCTACTGCTTGCAAAGGCGCCGAAGCATCTTTCGGCTGGTCCCTGCAAGAAGTGCAAGGGCAATTATTGTTGAATAGAATAAGTGGGGTATTGCCCCCACTCTGTTAACAGTGGGTGAATGTGTCAACAGCATCAACAACAAAAACGACAGCAACAGCAACAGCAGCAGAAGCAGCAGCCGCTGCAGCGACAGCAACAGCATCTGCAGTGGCGATTAAGAAGTATAAGACGCATAGGACTAACAAGCACAATAGCAAGCACAATAATACGAAGGATAACAACAGGAGAAGCTGGCTTAGAAGCAGTATGAAGGTACCATACTGCTACATAGTTGCAGTGTCGGCGCCTATGCTGGCCAGCGGCGTTACTAGAAACCTTCGACACCCCAAACCCTGAGCCTTACACTCTGTAAATAACTACCCAGAACCCCTTAAACCTTAGACCCTCACCCTGAGCCCCCAACCATAAACCGTGACACCTAAACCCCAAGCGCTGAACCCTAAACCACCCTAAGCCCCCAGACCTTCCAAAATCCATCAATCAAGGAATATACCTTAATTCATATTTGGGATCCTATTACAATTTAAGGTATACTCCTTAATTAAGGGATTTTGGAAGGTCTGGGCCCGAAGCCACCCGTCCTTGTGAACCATGCCACGGTCATGCCGTTCGGGTATCCCGCAGCATCTTGCCCAGCGAAGGCCAGGTGGATCCTCAATTTAAACGGCTTCCTTTACCGGGCTTCCTTTACAGGCGGATCCTCAATTTCGGGCTTCCTTTAAGGGTTTAGGGTTGCTTCAGGGTTCAGGGTATTGGGGTTTCGGGCTTCCTTTAAAGGGGGACCCTACAGGGTTTTTGGGCTTCCTTTAAAGGCAATCCGAATTGTTTCGAGTGCTTCTTGTTACGGGATTCCGACGGTTTGTAGGGATTCCTAGAAAAGGGAATCCTGGGGTTCTGGATTCTTCCTTTTAAAGGATTCCAGAGGCTTTTTCCGATTGAATTGAACCCGAAGGTTGCCAGGGTGCCCTTTAAGGGGAATACTATAAGGTTGTTCAGGGTTCCTTCGAAGGCAACCCTACCGGGTTTTTAGGGGTTCCTTTTAGTGGACCTCTTGGGGGGGGGGGGGGGTCCTTAGATTCTTTAATAAAAGGAAAAGAGAATCTTCAGACATATGCACATGCATACATGCATAAAAATGTACATTTATGTATACAAGCAATATGTATGAGTGTCTGTGTTGAGTGCCTATATTTATACGTTGTCATTCTACTTTATAATATCAGGCCAATTGCTAATGGAAGCAGCAAGCCGGCTCTTTAGGAATAGTATAGTCGTACCACACCCCAGAGAACCTGTATAAACGCCCTGCAACAACCTACCTATAAAAAAACCTTGTAGCCCTACCAAAACCGTATGCAGCCCCCTGAGCCATGAAAAACCCAAACTCTAGAAACCCTATAAGCCCGAATCCCTAAAGCCCTCTAAACCCTGAGCCATAAACAAAAACAACTCTAGAAACCCTATAAGCCCGAAGCCCTAAACCCTTACAAACCCCTAAAAACCCCTAAACCCCTAAACCCTGAATGGAACCCTTAAAGGAACCTTTACAGCAACTCTAGGGACCCCTGTAACTCCTACTTAGAGGCTCAGGGGACTTAGTAAGCTGGTTATAAGTAGGGGATCATAATTGGGACAACTCCACTTGGGGTACTTATAACTCTACTTATAACCTACTTACTAAGTCCCCTGGGCCTCTAAGTTATCGCCCTATCAGCCGAAAGTCTGCTCTGGCTCCAAATGCGCAGACGCCAACCTCAGAGACTTCAGGGGCTTTAGGGTTTTTTGGTTCTTTTAAAGGAACCCTAGGGGTTCCTTTAAAGAGATCCATAAGGCTTCTATAAGGGTCTATACGGTTTAGGGGTTTCTGCTGCTTGAAATTCTTTTCAGGGTTCCTTTAAGGGTTTAGGGGTTTAGGGTTTCGGGGTTTTCGTGCTTTGGGGTACTTGGAGATGAAACTGCTACGGGGGGGGGGGGGGTGTCAGGGGTTAGGGTTTAGAGGGGTGTGCAATGCCAGAGTTAGCTTTTCGATCCCAGTACCCAAATAATAGGGCTTTGGAGCCCACATTTCAGGCTCTGCAAAGGCTTTTTGGCACCTGAAACTCCATGATGCGAGTATTTCCACCCTTAGAGGATCAAACTTTTATCTAGGAGAGGGGGGGAAGTGCGCAAGGTCAGAATTAGATACGACGGTTTATGTGAGGAGTGTAATCCTCGGCATGATGCAAGTTCTCCATCGCAAGATGACCTGCAGGCCCCGAGAGCGTTCTCCTTTATTTAATAGCAAGGAGGGACTCGTGGGATGGCAAAGATGCGGATACCCTAAACCCTAAACCCCATAAAATCCTAAGTCCTAAACCCTATAAACCCATAACTCCTAAACCCTAAACCCTACAAACCCATAAGTCCTAAACCCTATAAAGCAGAAATGTGGATCAGGCATTGAGGGCACTCCTCTCCTAAGGCCTTCGGACCCAAAAGCTATACGGGCAGCTCTCGAAATAGGGTCCGTATTGAAATCGAGGGACCTAGAGAGGGACCCCAAATTGAGAGAACTACCCATCTCGAAATAGGGTCCTTATTGAAATCCCGGGACCTAATGAAGGACCCCAACTTTAGAGAACTACCCATCTCGAAATAGGGTCTTTATTGAAATTCCGGGGCCTAGAGAGGGACCCCATTTTTAGAGAGCTACCCATCTCGAAATAGGGTCCTTAACACTAATGATGCGGACAAGAAGAACAATAACAACGACAGTCATCATGTAAACAATAACGATACAAAAACAAACAAACGAATGCTGTGACTTCTGTAAGTTTGTTGCACCGTGGCTGATGGCTCGCTCACAATCTGTCTGCCATAAAACCTCAAAACTGGGTGTCACTGAACCCTACCCCTTGAATAGCATAGCCGGAGAGAACCCTGGAATGCCGGACATACCTTAGTAACGAAAGTTTTGCTCTGGAGGTGCACGTGCATGCACAGGCGTCTACTACCAGCGAAACAGGAGAAAGGATCGCCCAAGACCCCTGCACTTGCTCTAACTTGTTGGGCGCCCAAATATATCGTATTCCCTGACCTCCCCTACACCCTAAAACCCTAAACCCCCAAAAGACAAACCGTAACCAAGGGCTCTGGCGCAGCCAGCGCAAGGGCCCGGAGGAGGCGGCGAGCCATGCCGGGCTCCCAGAGAGCCTTCCGCAAAACTCCCAAAGAGTTGGGGCTTTAGGGTTTTAGGGCATCTAGGGCTTATGGGTATTATGTGATTTTGTATGGCATTTTAGCGGTTTAGAATCTAGAATCTAGACATCCTGCACATGCTACGCAAACCTTTTAAGCTCCATGAGCTACAAACTTTATACACCCATAAGACCAAATAACCTAAATATAATACACCTTAACCTGCTAACCCCAGACCCTACGAACCCGAAAACACAAACACCCGAACACACCCTAGAAACCCAACACGAGGCTGTCAACCGTCAGCGTAGCGTACTGAGACTCACGGCCTTGAGGCTGAATAAACCTATGTCCATGTGCCTCCCTCTCTCCCTCTCCTCCCTCTCTCTCTCTCTCTCTCTCTCTCTCTCTCTCTCTCTCTCTCTCTCTCTCTCTCTCTCTCTCTCTCTGTCTCTCTCTGTCTCTCTCTGTCTCTCTCTCCTCTCTCTCTCTCTCTCTCTCTCTCTCTCTCTCTGTCTCTCTCTCTCTCTCTCTCTCTCTTCTCTCTCTCTCTCTCTCCCTCTCCTCTCTCTCTATCTCTCTCTCTCTCTCTCTCTCTTCTCTCTCTCTCCTCCTTCTCTCTCTCTCTCTCTCTCTCTCTCTCTCTCTCCCTCTCCCTCTCTCCCTCCTCTCTCTCTTCTCTCTGTCTCTATCTCTCTCTCTTCTCGCTCTCTCTCTCTCTCTCTCTCTCTCTCTCTTTCTCTCTCTCTCTCCACTCTCTCTCTCTCTCTCTCTCTCTCTCTCTCTCTCTCTCTCTCTCTCTCTCTCTCTCTCTCTCTCTCTCTCTCTCTCTCTCTATATATATATATATACACACACATATGTTTATGTATATATCCATATATACGTTATATGCATTTGCATATAGATACTATATATAGATACAGACATGATGTTCATGTACATATATGCACGGTGGTATAATAACATACTGAATAAAACGAAAAAGTAACATTCTATTGTACTCCACACTATAAAATGATAAGATATAATAATATAAGATCAGATGTCAAAATGAAAGAAAACATGAAATAAAGGAACGAGTGGGATTTCATAACATAGATCAGGGTAGAATATAGAAACATGCAATTGAAACACAATATACTGTAATGGAATATGACACGGTAGACTATATTATGCTATGTGTTACTATGGTATAGCATATTGTATTATGTTAGGGTTCACTGTACTGGGTTGCACATACCATGTGATATGCTATGCTGTAAGTGTATATATATATATATATATGTATATGTATATGTATATGTATATGTATATGTATATGTATATGTATATGTATATGTATATGTATATGTATGTGTATACATATATATATATATACATATTGTGTTATTGCTATGCTATACAATACTGTCGTATTTCCTATTGTACTGTGCCGTACTAAATATATAAAATGCCGAATGTATATATGTATATATAAATGGTACCCCCCCCCCCCCAAAGATCCACGCTTTCTGTCTGTTTCCAGCTCTTCGTGTGCCATCCCCGTTTGTTTGTTCTTCATGTCGTCTGTATGTGTGTCTTCCTACGTGAATACCACAACATTTAGCAGACACACACACACACACATGGTTGGGCAAACTCCGCTCCAAAGATAGTGGGTACAGGCCTTGGCCCCTTAGCCCCGGTACAAACCGGTACAACCGGTACAAGTTGTACCGGGGGAATCCAAGATTCCAAGATTCCAAGATTGCTGCGGAGTCTTTTTTGGAATCCTGGAACTGGATGGGCTCCGGTATCCAAGATTCCGAGAAAGAGTTCGCAGCAATCTTGGAATCTTGGAATCTTGGATTCCCCCGGTACAAGTTGTACCGGTTGTACCGGTTTGTACCGGGGGGACCCTTCCAAGGTTCCAGGAGAAGACCGGTACAACTTGTACCGGTTGTACCGGTTTGTACCGGGGCTAAGGCCTGCATCCGAGATCTAATACCCGATGTGTTGCCGGCAACAGCCCTTCCCATCCCTCTCCCCTTCCCTCCCCTTCTCTCTTTTCACCTCCCCACCTTCCCCCTCCTTTCTCAACAACCCTGATAAATATTCCTTATTAGAAAATTTGTCTATCCCCTGTGTAGAGACCGTGTCGAGAATCCTAAACCCTTATAGACTCTTTATAGAAACCTTACAGATTCCCTTATAGATTTTTTTTATAGAAACCTTACAGATTCCTTATATAAAGACCTTATAGACCTGAAATGGAGCCCGTATAGAAAAACCATAGATTCCTTATAGAAACCTTATAGATCCCCTGTATAGAAACCTTCGAGAAACCCCTCATAGATCCCTTATAGAACTCTGTTACAGATTCCGTTCCGAAACCGTGTGGGTTCCCAAAACAGCGGCCTTATGAACACCTTGAAGAATAGATCCCATCTATAACGACCTTATGGAAAACCCTCATACAGCTCTGTTTTGGAGCCGTTCCAAATAACCGTTATAGATTCTCTCTAGAAGCCTTATGAATTCCCTATAGAGACCTTATAGAGATCCCGTATAGATCCCTTATCGAGAATCCTTATGGATTCATTATAGAAGTCCTTGCATTGCAGAGCCCCATCGTAGAACCTTATGGGAGCTCCCTATAGATCCCTGATATGGAGCCCTCATAGACAGCCTTTATAGATTCTTATAGAAACTTTATAGATCCCTTATATAGAGAGTTACAGAAGCCCCTTATAGATCCACAAATGGAGTTCTTTATAGAAAACTTTGAGAGATTCCTTGCACGGAGCCTTCATAGACAACTTTTATATACTCCTTATGAAAACTAGTAGATTCCCCTCTATGTGGTTTTCCCCCCTCTAGAAACCACATAGAAGCCCGGTATAGATCCCTCATTAGAAACCCTTACAGATTCCTTCTTGAAATCTTATAGATCCTCTATGTAGAGACCTTATAGAAACCCATGATATAGAAAAACTATAGATCCCTATAGAGAGAGTTTCTAGAAACTCATTATGGATCCCTCATATGGAGCCCTTATAGCAAACCCGTTTATATTCCTTATAGACACCTTGTACATCCATTGCAAAAAAACCCATTAGAAACCCCTTGTAGATCCCTCATATGGGCCCATATCGAAAGTTCTATAGATTCCATATAGAAACTTTGTAGATCCTCTATATAGAAACCCAGATCTTCGTGGTCGATGTCGATGCCGGAGTATTTGCGTACTTGTTTTTTCTCCAACATGCCATGAAGATATTACATTCTCGTGTCATATCCATGGGCTGACATATGCAAGACAATATGCATGTCAGGCCGGCAGTTATATGCTATGGAGGAGTGGTAACTGTGGTGCACCGTGTCATTAGCTTCATGGATTGGCCTGGTGGCTGTTTAGCCAGAGAACCCCTGTCCTTGACGCATTGCCTATGGGTAAGGTAAGATTTCATACCTGAGGACCATATCTGATGTACACATGTACAAACTAGCAATCACAACCTTCTGTGTTGCAACATTTATATAGAAAATTATCCTGGACCGAATGCAAACTGTTGCGTATCATATTGACAGAGGAACAGCATATGATGATGTATGGATGCCATATCCAGTCTTTGACATGAGACTACGAATGCCAGGAATCTTCTTGTGCTCATACACCGAGGGATAGTACAGTTGTTGAAACCAGTGGCATAATTGTTTTCAGACACGATGACGACCGATATCAAAGGTAAACAGGTGCATAGCAATATCCTGCATGCGAGCGTGCCGGGATGCGTGGACGAACCTGAAATTTGACATTTGTGCTTTTAATTCTATGTCTGAATCAGTGCGAAACTTTCTGGGTTTCGGTTTGTAGAATGCGTGATATGGCTATGTAGCATTTAGCTAAGCGTTTGATATTGTCTATATAAAAAACTAGCTAAACAGACCCTAAAGTCACGATCATTGTGCCACCGTTTGTCTCCATCACCGATCACCCGGTCCACATTGTCGTTGTCTTTTCATTTCAGAGGTGCAGTCGTGTTCGTTTGTATTCGCATATTCCTCCCTCGGAAAGTTTACGCTTTATGTCCATCACCCGTGTCCATATGCAAAGAGACATGCATAAGGGTTTACAAATACTGCAGCTACATGCTGTTGTAAGTGATGTGGGTACCAAGGGTAATCCGGCAATGCTGTGGAATGGTACTCCGGCAATGCTGTGGAATGGAAGGGTTGTTTCGGATTAATTGAGTCATATTTGAGGGGGTTCTTTCCGAATAAGGCCAAAACGCGCGAATCATATTTGAGGGCGTTCCTTCCGACTAAGAACAAATTGCGACTCATATTGGGGGGGGTTCCTTCCGAATAAAGCCAAAATGCGCGGATCTTTGGGGGGGGGGGGGGAAGCATATAAATCATTGGCGTTGCCATGACTACAAAATACTCCACTGAGGCACGACATATACTGTAGGGACATGGAAACTAAGTGCAGGGTGCGGACACGAAATCCTGAACTCCTTCGTACAACCCTCACCCTAAATCCTAAACCCTACCTTAACTCGGAATAACCCACCTTTTTAGGGTTCCTTATTATGATTTCTTCAAAAAAATCCTTAAAAATGTAGGTTATTCCGGGTTAAGGTAATGCCCAAACGGCCTTAAACCCGAAACCCTCACACCGACAACTCCAAAAGCGCACCTCGCGGAAGAGGCTCTGGGAGCAGGAAGCCTGTAACCCTGAGAGAGAGCCGAAAGGAGCAGCGATCAACATCTCCGGGCCTTTCCGGACCCCCCAAGTGCCCTTTAATAGAGCCCTTGTAGTCTTTAATAGTGGGTATCTAGGGTATCATGGAGGGTAGTTGGGGGGCTTAGTAGAGCCGAAGCGCTTTAGTAGTGCGCTCTAAGGCAACATGGAGGGTAGTTGGGGGGTCTAGGTCAACTGCAAGGCTCCAAGTACTTGGTTTGGGTCTGTTTGGGTCTCTGGCAGGAAAAAGCGTGGGTTCATGTCGAGGGGAGGATATGAACAGTAAGTATGTGGACCCAAAGTCCAGAAGCCCCGAAACCCAAAGTTCAAAAGCCTTTAACCCTCCAAACTCTAAACCCTCAACCCTAAGTACTTAGTCTTGCGTCTATGGGCCTAAGCCCCAGCCCCCAGCCCTAACCTTCAACCCTAGCTGCCTGCTCCGGGACTCTTAGTTACTGTGCAAGCTGCCGACATCAAATCTCAGCGGCACTGGGAAAGAAACTATTGGGTTTCTTACACCCGCGGCCCCAGGATTCATAACCTCCTCAATGCTCGACAAGGGAGACCTTTTTCCCGCGGGTAAGTTAGACTGTCTGCACACATCCTGTCAGTGTGAAGATCTTTATTTGGTGTCGCCTGCAGTTTGCAGGTTCAAGCCTCAGCACTGTTGCGTCTGTTTCCTTTTGGCTCACTCAGGAAATTCGTGTTGATACGCCGCCTTGTGCCTCTTGTTGCAACGGACGGCAGCTCGTTCTTCGGCCAGCTGCCATCGCGACAGCAGCGCCTAGCATGCGATTGGGATTTGAGTAACAACCCAAAGCATCATGCTCATTGATGCCCCGAACATAAATGCCTAAACTGCTTCATTTGTGGCTTTACCCTGTGCTTCAAGAAGACGTATGCAGTGCACGCGAAGCAACAGCCCCTCGTAAGTGGTTGCGCGCTAAGTATGGGGATGCCCACGGAGTCACTTGCTAACATTTCGTGCCTGTCGTTATTTCTTCGCAAGCCCCCAGCCGAAGCCCCACAATCCGAAAAGCTAACCCCCAAACCTTAAGCCCCAAAGCCCTAGACACAAAGCCCCAAAATGCCCTAAACCCCTAAGCCCTAAACCCCCCAACCCCATGCCCTAGATCCGAAGCTCTGACCATCCCTAGACCCTAAGCCCTAAAGCCCAAAACAAACTAGGGGTACACTATTTTGGGGTGGTTATAATAAGGATCCTACTTTTTAGGGTACTATAGGGTGCCCTATTTTCGGAAACTGCCATATCCCCAAACCCTACTTCACTTCTACCCTAAGGGTCCAAGGTATCTCCTTAGGAGGGTCCGGAATCTCCTAGGGAGAGCCCTTGGGTCTCTTTGGGGTCTCAGAAATCCTGCATTTTGAGGTTCCCTAAAGTGCTAGGACCCTTAGGGTAGTTCCTTGCCGGTAGTGGACTCGTGTTTGTCAGTTCGCAGGCCGCCCGAAGCACTTCCCAAAGCACCACGGGTTTAAGGGTCTAGGGGTTTAGTGTTAGGGGTTTAGGGTTTATAGGGTTTAGGGGTAAGGGGTTTAGAGTTTAGGGGTTTAGGGGTTTAGGGTGTTAGGATCTGGGCTTGAAGTTTGGGTTTAGGGTGCTAAGGTGCTGGGGTGTTAGGTATAGTCCGTCAGTCTTTCCAGGATTCACATATGGGGCATTGTAGGGCATGTGGTGCAATTTCCAGGCTTAGTTGATGTCTTGTGCAATCGGCCTCCCCAAGTTACAATCCGATAGAACAAGTGCTGTATGGAAAATGTGTTAACAAAAACCGTTAAACAACTCACTCCCGACAACCTCAGGACCTTCGACGAGAAGAGTCCTCGGCACAGGATCCTCGCCCATACACCCTAAACCCTAGCCCCTGAATCCTAGTTAGGATCCTAGGTTCTGCAAGGAAGCACCGTCCAAATCCTGCATTTGCCGACCTCCGGGCCCGAAGCCCTAAGTACGAAGCCCCGGAAATCGGAAACCAACACTGACGCGGTTTAGGGTTTAGGGCTCTGGACTGTGAAGTAACCTTATAAAAAAAACATAGACTTTGATTTCCTAATGGTTCCATGACGGAACAGGTACCAAACAAGCGTTCGAGTAGGGTACTTCAAACCCAGGGAGTCGTAGAACGTAGGGGGTAGGGGACTAGGGTTTAGGGTGGAGCGGCTCCGGGGGGCTCCGAAATCCAACAAGATCCTGTCAACTCCTTATGGGACTGGCGAAAACATGACTAGGATGCCCGCCAACCTAGGAATAGAAAGGGCTCCCTTTTTGGTATTGGGCAACTTTATAAGGAACCTAGGACTATAGAAACGGGAATAAGGGTACTACTCGGCATCCTAGATGAACAGAGGGCGCCTTCAGCATCTCCTGCGGATCTCTCTGAACACGATGTGTCTCCTGTCTACGGCCACGGGTCGAGGTCATCCGAAAAGGTCCTAGGTACTGTTATGGGGAATACTTCCCCACATCATAGTAGTAATTCCTAATATAGAAACGCCGGCATTCTACTATATAGGTACTGAGGACCCTTTTGGGGATGCCAAGCAGTCGCAGGGGCAGCAGCACCACACATACGGGCAAGAGCAGGAAGAGCAGCAGCAGTGGCAGTACCAGCCATGGCCATAGCACCATAACAGTAGAAACCCTGAACAAGAAGGCGGGGTGAGGAGTCGTGGTGCTGTGGTGACATTGCGAATAAAACACAACAAAACGACAAGACAAATATCATATGTAGAAGCCTGAATAACTGGTTACCAAAAGTGTGCCTGAGGGCCTTAGGTTGTTACGACTTCTATATTGGAGCAAGAGTTCCAGTCTCCGTCCGTACAATTTGGTACTCCCAAAGACTCTAACAGCCGTAATTTGGGAATCAAGGAAAACAAGTGCCAAAATAAAACAGACAGAGGTTATTCTTAAAATCAGGGGGGCATTCCTACATTCCTATAGATAACGCGTTTGGAGTCTCTGTGTTTGCGTTCATTATCTATGCGTTGGCTCTGCCCAAGGCAGACTAGTCCAAAACACCGAAGGCCCTGTACCCTTAACAGCCCTCGAACTAAATGATCAGCTCACTCAACAGACAACTCTGTTCATACTGGTTAGTTCCGGTTTACAGCAAATCCTACCCTTCACAAGGAATACGACTCTGTCAACACCCTTCGTTCGAGCAACCCGTCTGCCCGATTCCAATGACAGGTTTAAGTCCTAACGAGCTGGAGAACTCCTGCCACCTCTCCCGAAACCCTAAACCCTAAACCCTCTATGGCCACGGTCAAGGGTTTCAGAGGTCCTCAACATGGGATTGCAGAGCACGAGTTGAAAAGTCTTCTTCCTTCAACTCTGCGTTGGGCTCTAGGCGTCTAACTAAGAGGTTGCTAGTCATATGGGATGGACATATGCGATGGAAACCTTATATTATACTTCGTATCTTCCCTAAATCCCAAACCCTAAACCCCAGTCTTCCAATCTCGCGCAGGCTCCTGGCGAAGGGAGCGGCAAAGGTCGCGTTGATAGCGCTGCTGGAATTCCGCCTACAAAGAGACACTGGCCATCGGGCGCTGCAAAAAACACAATATAAAAATATATATATATATATATATATAAGTTGAAACATTTGTAAAGGGACTGCACTCTGCAGGACGGAACGCGACGAGGGTTCGATAATGCAGGGCAACAGCTACCGTAAACCCCAAATAATCTACCGTGTTAAGGACTTCTATAAGGACAATATGTTTGTTATGGGGTCCAGGTAGTGTATCATCATCAGAAACTGTGGGCAAAAACAACCAACATCCCATGAAATCTGAAACATGAAAAATTGAATCCTCAAGCCCGAATCCGAAAACCTAAACCAAACCTAAAACCCAAACACCCTTAAACCCCCAAATCTAACACCCTAAAGGCGTAAGCCCTGGCCTCAAGGGAATTGAGACGGCGCTGAGCCGGGCCCAGATTGCGACCGAACTCGCCAAGACTCACGAGATAGGCCTGCTCGTGCTTGGGGCTTTCGGGGTTTAGGGTTTAGGGCTTAGGGGTTTAGGGTTTAAAGCTTTAGGGCTTTGGGGTTTAGGGTTTCGGGTTTAGGGTTTAAGGTTTAGGGTTTAAAGCTTTAGGGCTTAGGGGTTTAGGGTTTCGGGTTTAGGGTTTAGGATTTAGGGTTTCGGGTTTAGGGCTTTTAAGGCTTCGGCTTTAGGGTTTCGGGTTTAGGGCTTCCTACTTGTGTCTTAGGGTTGAAAGGTTGGATATGACTTTTTTGAAGGGGTGGTTAGGGCTTTGGGTTTATATAGGGTTTGAGTGGAGCGGGGAATATAGGAATTACTGAAGGGGAATACATGGGAACTACTGGAGGGATTCATTCTGCCCCTCCCGCTGAAGCACCGATAAGATGCAGGGCTTACGATGTTGTTGCACGGTGTTGGGCTTCAAAGCGCAGAGTTAACTTGCATCTACCTTCAAAATCTGAAGGCGAAGGCAAAGCCACCCCAAGACCACAAACCCCGCACCCCAAAACCCAATCTCCCATCTCCCAAGGTCCTCATGAATTCCTTAAACCTCCGCACTGAACCTTGAAGATTAAACTTAAGTCAACGTATGGTTTGGGATTACACCGAATAGGGCTTCAGGTCTCAATTTAACTTCACTGGAACCAGCTGAAGCAAAACTACCAGGTAGTGCGGTGGCACGTACAGAAGGTCGCCGGCCAATAATGTTGCCCAAAGGATACTCCGATGGGTCGCAACATTAAGTCGGTCGACCATCCAAGCGATTTCCGTCCAACTGCTCGTCTCCATCTTAGGAGCCGGTGGCTATCCACATGCACCGCGCTGGCCTGTATTTTGTGGAGAGAGAGAGAAAGAGAGAGAGCGAGAGAGACAGACAGAGAGAGACAGAGACAGAGACAAAGAGACAGAGAGAGAGTCGGAACACGCGTCAAAGATATCACTCGGACTATCAACAATTAATCTGTTCTGCAGTGCAACACCAGCAAGCACACTGAACTTCTGCTATATGCGAACGTGATCCGAAAGGCAAGTTCGGAATCCTCATTTGCGAGTGATGCTTCTGAGGTGACGCGTTTTAACTGCGCAGGCCGGGGCTTACTCAGGATTTGGGCATGTTTGGGGGCTGATCCTCCATAATGTGCAGTACTGCTATGCTGAAGTACTACTGAAATACTTCGTTCCTCACTAGTTAGGCGTTCTGTACTATTACTGTGCTGATGTCATACGTTGCTACTCTACCAGGGGTGGGTGGTCTTGGGAACACACGGGGATCACACTATTCAGGATTCAGGAAAATGTTTGCAGGGTGGGGAGGGGGGCAAAACCGAATGCAACATTAATAGACAAGTCTGTACAGTACTTCAGTACTATGTATTTGTATGTACATATATATACATATATATATTTTTTTTCTTTATTTCTGTATAATGTAAGTACAAAACTAGGTGTGAAAAAAACACATGTGCACGTGACGGTATGCAGGTGCATGCATCAGTACATGTACGAACCCACATATGCACACAAAACAGAAGGATTCGTATCATGTGCCCACCTGCCATGTGAGGTGTCTGCGGGAAAAGATCCAATTTAAGACCGTACTAAGACCATTTTAAGTTACCCTTACTGGGTCCTGGAGAACTCCGTGTGAAGACCTTTCAATCGAAACCTTTGCAAGCGCCAACAACGTCTTATAATTCCTTACAGCCTTTTTATGATCACTTTTGTTAGCCGTGGAGAAACACTTCTTTCCTTGCGCCATCCTTGACACCAGTCCTTCGAATAGCCATAGGAAGCATTTCTAAAACATCTTCAAAATCCTTTACACTGACCTTTACAAACAA